ACTTATACAGGAATATATAGAGCTGAGAGAATATATTATCTATCTGAAACCTGCTTTATTTTTATTTATAGGCTTTATGACTATCTGAAAATTGTAGTATACATTAAATAATCATCTCATCCTATTGGAATATAAACTCTATATGGGCAGGGACTTTGTTTTAACAATTTACTGTCATATCCTCAGGGCCTGATTTATAGCAGGTATTCAAAAAAAGTGTTGACTAAATGCATGCCCTTTTAATGAAATAGTGATCCTAAAGCACTCTTTATATCTTTGCATACATATACCAGTAGATACTTTCATTTATGTAAAATTAGACACTTATATTAATATATACATGGGTGTGGATATATAAAAATAACTTATGTCAATACATACATATATGTATAAACACACACAAACAATGATGCAGGGGGAAAAGTTCTATCTACAGACCTGCATGCTCTGTGATAACGTATTAAGTGTGCTGAGAACATGGTTTCTGAGCCAGCCTGCCTGATTCAATTCGCAGTTTTTCACTTACTAGCTGTGTTACTGCCAAGTTACTTAACATTTTTGTGCCTCAATTACATCATCTATCAGACAGAGATAATAGTACATATTTCACAAACTGCCGCAAGGATTAAATGTGTTAAAAGAGAGCCTGGAACAAAGTAAGTGCTACAGAAATTTCTGCTATTATGTTTTAAGTCATAAAAGAACTGCACAGTAATGGGAATGACAGTACTGGACACTCTAGAGCAGGCCCCCTCAGTTACGTCACTGCAGACACCTCACACTGGACGATGCTTCCCTGTGGGTGCTGCCCTGTGCCCTGCGGGACACTGAGCGGCACGAGAGCATCCCCATGCCCGGGGTGACACCAAACTGTCTGCAGACACAGTCACGCGTCCCCAAGGGGCACGACCACCCTCGGCTGAGAACCACTGCTTCAGTGGGATGAACGTGGACGCAGGAGGGTGTGTTGGGCTTTTTCCCCTTATATAGTTTTTACATTACCCTTGTTAAAAGTATGCAGTATTTCTATAACTTAAAAATAAGGAATGCTTCAAAAAAGAAACATTAAAAAAATTATTAAAAGAAGTTTATAATCAATGGTTTCTAGACCAGCAGAATAGAAGAGAATATAGAAAATTCAATCAATACAAAAGATGACTGGAAAGAAAGAAATAGTAACAGCAAAATGATGATCAGAAAAAAAACATAAGATAGAACAAATATATTGAAATGCTTGTGATCATAATAAATATAAATGGGTTCAACTCACCTATGAAAGAGAGATATTATCAGATTGGATTAAAAAAACAAAGTCCAGCTACATACAGCTTATAAGAAACACCCTAAAAATAAAACAATACAGAAAAGTTGAATACAAAGGAATACACACATAGTAGTAACTATTCACCAAAAGAAAGGCAGTGAAACATCATCATAAATCAAAATAGATTTAAGGCAAAAAATTCATACTGAAGACATAATGATGAAAAAACTAAATGTACCTGATAATATAGAACTCAGCAAAACTATTAGAATTATAGGAAAAAAAATGTGAGAGATTTTATTGAATACCATCTGTTTCAGAACCTGATAGATCAAGCTGGCCAAAAATTAGTAAGCACACACACACATATACATATGGACAAACAGAATGACTGCATATTAAATAACGAATAGGGCAAAATGTAAGTAATTGGAACATCTGGGTAACCAGTATGAAAAAACTCTTTGTACTAGTCTAGAACTTTTCTGTGTTAGAAATTGTATTAAAGTTGCATGCATGTGGGCTAAGTCACTCAGTCACGTCCAACTCTTTGTGACCCCATAGACTGTAGCCCACTAGGCTCCTCTGTCCATGGAATTTCCCAGGCAAGAATACTGGAGTGGGTTGCCACACTCTCCTTCAGGGGATCTTCCTGACCCAGGGATCGAACCCACATCTCTTATGTCTCCTACAGTGGCAGGTGGAGTCTTTACCACTAGTGCCACAAAGGAAACCCAAAATAAAGTCACCTCCGCTAGAAAAAAACACCCAAATAAGTAGGATGAAAGAGTAAGCTCACCATTCAGTGTGAGAAGTTAGAAAAACAACATCAGAGACAATCTAAACAAAGCAGAAAAAGGAAACAATAATATAACAACAAAATCAGTAAAGCAGAAAGCAAAGAAACAATAGAGAAGTCAAGAAAACCAAAACATGATTCTTTGAAAAAACTAAAATGCCAATTAAAGAAGTAAACACAAACCTCTAGCAAGTCCGTTCAAGGGGAAATCAAAGTACAATTGAAAAATATTAAGAATGACTAGTGAAAGACACAACAGAGATTTGGGAACATAACAATAAGCTGAAAAATCTGTATTAAACAGAAATTTTTAAGAAAAATGTTATTTCCCAACATATATTTCAGAAGACATAGATTATCCAAATAAACCAAAGAACTACTTAACACATTAATTAGTATTCAAAATTCTCCCCCTACAAAAGGCAACAAATCTGAAGGTTTTAACAACTATTACCAAACCTTCAAGGACAATATGTATCTATTTCAAAGAACAGAAAAGGGAAAGCTACTCAACTAATTTTTTTTGCTACTAATGTCAGGACAAAACAGTAAGTAATATATTAGTGAACAGTTTAGCAATACATTTTAAAAAAATTAAATACCAGAGTCAAGTGGTTTATCTAAGAATATGTGGGTGATTCACAACAGAAGATGATCAATGTAATTTATTACATTAATAAGGAAAAAAACCACTATATAATCATCTTACTAGATGGAGGAAAAAATTATAGCAATATTTAATACCCATTCCTGATATAAATTCCTAGGGACAGAAAAATATTGTTAACCCATGGAAGGCTACTATCAAAAAATCTATAGCAAATGTAATATTTAGTGATGAAACTTTAGAATTATTTGAACTGAAGTCAGAAACAAGATGGAGACCCCTGCTATCACTTACATTATCTAACATTGTTGTGGAGGTTTCAACCAATACAGTAACACAAAGAATAATGAGGAGGAGGAAGAGTAATAGAGAAGAAAATTTGAAAATAAAAACAAATACCACACAAAATTATCATTTGCAGAAGATGTGACTGCATGGAAAACTAGACAGGAAAAAATATGGGAACTATTAGAGTTTATTTGCTAGATAGAAAGACATTATACAACAACCAGCAATAACCAAATTAGGAAAATGTTAATTTAAAAAAGTTACCATTTATAATGGCAGCAAAAATTATAAGAGCCAAAGAAAAAACTTAAGACCCCTACATGTGTATGGTAGGCATTATAGAATGTTATTTAAAGACATAAATACAGACCTAAATAAGTTGGGATAGACTATGGAGATAAAAAGGAAGAATGAAATTTTAAAGATGTCCACTGTCTTACTTAAAATTGAGCACAATTTCTATCAAAATCACCATTTCACAGAACAAGATGAAGTGATCCTAAAATTTTTACAAAAGAATAAATGGCCAAGAATAGACACAGTTGGAAGTCAAGAATGAGGTGGACAGCCTTGTCCTAGTTACTACTGTAAAAGCTACTACGATTAACACAGAACGATATTGATGCAGAGAGACAGACCAAAGGAACAGAACTGAGAGCCCCAGACCAGTCCCACATATGCAGAACAATCTGGTGTGTAACAGAAGCGACATTACAAGGATGAACTCTTCACTTTCTTATGTTGTGACAATCAGTAACCCGCTGGGTGAGAGGGGGAGGAATAAATCTCTACCTCTACTTACTTACAATTAAGTTCCAGATGGAATAAAAAGCTCAACAAAAAAATGCAATAAAACTTTTAAAGGAAAATGTAAGTAAAAAACTCATTTTAAGAATTACAATCCTAAAGAAATCATTAATAGATATGAATGCATTAAAATTTAAAAAGTCTGGATCACTAAAAAGATCAAAACCAAAGTAAACACAAGCTATAGACTGAGAGAAGATACGTGTAACATATTTAATCAAGAAAAGATCAGAACTTAGAATATACAGACTCTTATAAACCTTTTTAAAAGTTCCAAACAACCTAGCAGACGATATGCATGCACAAAGGATGTGAACAAATAATTCAGAAGAGAAAGTCAAAGAGCCAATAAACGTATGCAGGGTAGCTAAGCCTCACTAATCACCGGGAAAGTCGACTGTAAACCTCGGTGATGCACCGTTTCAATCTGTCAGACTGGTGATAATGAAGAACGCCCAACACTGGCAGGAAACTCAGACGCTGCAAGGAGACAAATCAGTACAATTACTGACAACAAAATACGGACGATATCTAATAAAGCCAAAGATGAGCAAACTCCATTCTCCAGTTTTCTATTTCTAGGTATGTTCCCTGGAATAGCATGTTTCATTTTAATGGTCTCAATCCTGCAGGGGCTATAAAGTCAACAGTCTTTAAATAGAATAAAAAATATCAGAGTAGATACACATCCTTATAAGGCTAGATCTCACTTACTGGAGCTGTGTTAAGGTGTGTATGTGGGTATATAGGTACTGGGTGGTTACAGAAAATACAGGTGATAATATGGGGTTTGAAAGAAACTGCCTTAGAGAAATGTTCCCCTGTGTACACAGGGTGCTCACTGTTGAACTGTTTATAACAACAAACAACTTGGAAAAGAAATCTGAATCGTGTTCACCAAGAGAATAGATAAGCTGTGGAATATACATACTATAGAAAAATGTGAGCTATCAGAATGAATGCAAGAGACTGAACATATCAGCACGGATATATGTTTAAACAAATGATACTAAGGGTAAGAGAAAAAAGCTGAAGAAGGATACATGTGGCTTTCCGCCATTTCTATAACGTAAAAGAAACTCGTAAGACTATTATTTACGCAGGCTTATACCTTGTAATATTTGAAATGATACATATCGAGTTCAGGTTTTGTTGTTACTAATGAAAGGGAAGCATACAAAGGGGGCTCCAACTGTATCTGGAACTTTTTTGTTTCCTAAATATCTAAAACCAACCTGTGGCAATGACTTATCTCCAGCAGCATGCATCTTTAATTTCATCAGTGCTACCTTTGCAGCTGTTTCACTATTTTTTGCACCTTTCCGTCGTTTACTTGCTGTCTCTCCTGTCTTGGAATCTAAGAAGCAAGCATAAGGATATAAGCAAATAGGAACTTGCACATTTTTCAAAGTTTTATTATTACTAACTGTGGCCTTGAAACGTACATAAATTACATATACTAGAGATATATGGAGACCACATTCATTTTTTAGATATATTTACAAGAACAATGGAGCATTACCACTGAGTGGATGTAAGTGAGCCACACATTAAAATACTTAAGTTATATGTGCTTTCCAACTTAAATCTATTTAATCCAAAGCAATCACTAGCACTTCTGCAGAGAGGTGTTGCAGAAGATTTTTACTTAATTAATAGAATTTAATTTAAATCACTATTCTTAATATAAAATGAAAATTCAGTTGAGTATGTTGGCAGTGAGACTGGTCAACGTCACAGATATTCTTTCCACATACGTTCAGATTATCAGCAGCATTCACAGGACAGCTGACTAGGCTTAAACTTCGGTCTTTTTTTTTGGTCTTTTTTTTTAAAAGGAATCTTTCTCTCTCATTTTTTTAAAGTTTTTTTTTTTAATCATTTTACCTTTTATTTTTTAATTTAAATTTTACTTATTTATTTTTGGCTGTGCTGAGTTTTCACTGCTGCACGCGGGCTTTCTCTCGTCGTGGCGACTGAGGCTCCTCCCTAGGTGCGGTGTTCAGGCTTCTCTTGAGGAACATGGACTCCAGGGCACACGGCCTTAGCTGCCCCACAGCACGTGGGGTCTTCTCGCATCAGGGATTAAACCCGTGTCCCCTGCATTGGCAGGTGGATTCTTAATCACTGGACCACCAGTAAAATCCTAACTTTAGTCTTGAAGAATGTAAACCACTACTTAAGCCTCATGAATGTAATTTCTAGCCAAGATGGTTAACCAGCTGATACAAGTGGTCCAGCAAAAGAGAATACCTGCCAGATATTTCTATGGAATTTCCAAATCCCCATTTGCTAGGTAAGACTTGTGAAAAACACTGTCACAAGAATGTCCTCAACATCTACAGCAAGTTATAACCATCGGGGCGGCTGACACCTCCCATGACTGGCAAGCTGACACAAGCAGGGCTCGGGACTCACGAGTACACAGCAGTGAGCAGACATCAGACACGCTGTCCAGATACTTGCCAATAACATCTTTGACGAGTTTCTGAGAGGCAGCCATACGAGGCCTAGGGATTTCCAGTTTTTCACAGTTGTGATCTGACTGATGACGGTGTCTGCGAGCAACAAAAGAGTGACAATGGTTCATGTGCTTGCATGTGACTTAAACAGATACACAGTTTGAACAGTCATAGGGGTCACCTCAGGCAGAAGTTCTTCTCACAGTAAGGACACATGATGGGCACAAGCTCTCTCTCAGCACACTCCCTGAAAGAGCATGGGTGAGATGTATGGGTGTCTGACTTCGTTCTCTTGTTGAGGACAGTCACCTGAAAAGGGAGAAGGGGGGCATGGCATCATATTTCACATTAAAAGCAAATCAACAAATCTATTCTAGATATCCAGAGCATTTTTGCTTCAACTTATAAAAGCAACCCACACAATCTTGCATAGATTATAATAATTGTGTGCAGAATGATTACTGTGCTGACTGCTCTACATTTTCAAAATTTCCCTACTGTAGTGTGTTTATCTTCTAAGTCAGGTTAAAATGACTACTCTGTCATTTTCCCTAAGTTTAGTCTTCTACTTTGTAACATACTACACAAGGTACCAATAATAGCTCAGTTGGTGAAGAGTCCTCCTGCAATGCAGGAAACCCCAGTTGGATTCCTGGGTCGGGAAGATCCCCTGGAGAAGGGAAAGGCTACCCACTCCAGTATTCTTGGGCTTCCCTGTGGCTCAGCTGGTAAAGAATCTGCCTGCAATGTGGGAGACCTGGGTTTGATCCCTGGGTTGGAAAGATCCCCTGGAGAAGGGAAAGGCTACCCACTCCAGTATCCTGGCCTGGAGAATTCTATGGACTGTATATAGACCACGGGGTCGCAGAGTCAGACATGACTAGAGTGACTTTCACAGACGAGGAAATCAGCCCATCACTCCTCAAATGACAAGTCATATCCACTTTCCACACTGATTTTAGAGGCTTAAATATATGTAAAAGAACACTTAAAATTATATTTTTCCATGATACAGTTAAAAACAGTTTTCACAATGATACAATACTCTTTGTGTGTATGCTCAGCTGGTTCCAGTCTTTGCAACCTCAGGGACTGTGGATTGCCAGGCTCCTGTCCAATGGACTTCCTGGGCAAGATTACTGAAGTAAATTGCCATTTCCTTCTCCAGAGAATCTTCCTAACCCAGGGATAGAACCCACACCTCTTACATCTTCTGCATTGTCAGGCAGATTCTTTGCCACTAGTGCCACCTACTGTATTACTAGCAAATATTATACCAGAGGAAAAAGATTTTATGAAATTAAAAAAAAAAAAATCCGATCACTTAGGCTATTTTGAGTACTAAGTAACCAGATTTCTAGAATTAAATGAACTCAGTTGACCCTTGAACAACTCAGGACTTAGGGTACAAACTCTCTACACTGTTAAAAATCCAAGTCTGTCTTCACAGGTAGCTTTCCAAATCTGCAGTTCTGTGTCTGCAGGTTCAATGCTTTGTGCAGCACATATTTAGAGAATAAAAAAGATCCACGTTTGAGGGGACACACACAGTTCAAACCTGTATCACTCAAGGGTCAATGGTAATTGCTTGAAATCCATGAACAAAGGGTATCCTCTATAAAAATAGAGTTACATCTCATTGGAATTAATTTCTTAACCATTTTTCCAAATTTGTTTCAATGGTCTAAAGGTAGAAGATTTTTATTTCACTATTTAATTAAGATCTAACTGAGAGACATTCTATGAGACATTCATAGAAAGCAAATCATATCACAAGAAAAAAGAAAGCACAGAGATTTATAAGCTACATGAGAAATACTGTTTACTATATGACTCTGAGTATTTCTCTCCAGTTAATCCTGAATAATACCAATATGTTAATTAATTTTTATTTCCCTCAAATCACCAAAACTTCAGAGGGCCAGATTTTGACTGAAGCTCATTTAATCTTAATTTTTATAATTGAGAGAACAGAGGTAAAAATTCTTGGCAAAGTGTCTGGTAAATGGTGGGAAGGAATAAATATTAATTGCAAAATGGGAGGCAAATGCTTCTTTCCAAATGGAGTGAATTCAGTTTAACTTCCTGCTGATCTCTGACCCAAAGGAGGTGGAGCAACTTCTCTGATTACAAATTCAAGAAAATTAATTAGGCTCAGCTTTTTCTTTATTTCCTAGGAGGCCTAACCTGGTGCAACACTGCTGTGACAGGTGGCAAACCCACTGAATTCTGGATTTTCTTTGAAGATCTTTTTGGCTCTACATTAAGCTTCATCATTCAACTTATTCTTTACCAGTCACAAAGATGGTATTTTGGCTTTTATCTAACAGGTCTTTTTAATATCTTGATGTGGGCAGAATTATGGTAGGGACTTTGATGGACTACAAGTTTGCTCCTGATGATCTAAGGCTGATGGAGTCAGCACAATTTATTACCACAGAATCCTAACCCCAGGCACCAGTGAAAACGAACACAACAGTGAAGCAAACTGGAGGCAGCATATGATGAGGATGTCAATTCCATTACATAGTTATAAATACAGAGCCTGAAGCTAAAAGTGGGCTACCCACACAGAACGGCAGTATAAAGAAAATTATAAGAATAAAAATTTATAAATACCAAGTAGACGAGTTTATTTTTAAAGCAAATTGAGAAAAAATATAAAGTAACAGTCTCTTATAAATCAATTTAGTATGCCAAATTTTAATCTGCAGTACCCTGGTACTAAATTAAATCAAGACTTCCCTGGTAATACAGTGGACAGCAGTTCGTCTGCCAGTGCAGGGGACATGTGTTCGATTCTTGGTCCAGAAAGATCCCACCTGCCATGGAGCAACTGAAGCTCGTGGGCCACAGCTACTGGCCTGCACGTTCTGCGGCCCAGGAGTCACAGTTACTGAAGCCCACAAGCCCGAGTCTGAACGCCGCACCCACTGAATCCCGGTGCCTAGAGCCCACACTCTGCAATTGGAGAGGAAGCCCCGTTCTCTGCAACTAGAGAAGGCCGTGAGCAGCAACGAAGACACAGCACAACCAAGATAAATAGATACACAGAACCAAATTCTGAAATACAAACACATTTCACTAGGAGATACTAACATACCTCAGGACAGCTATGGGACTCTCTGCTCCTGTGTTCAAGGCTTAAATAACAACAAAGAAAAGTATTTATTTAAATGTAATCAAATAATGTACTTAAAGATAACTGCAGAAATTTGAGCTATTTAATGGTTAGATCCTTAAGATTAATTACACTCACACCACATTAACAACTCTGCATATAAGAATAAGCTGAAAAGACAAATAAAAGACAGAGCACCTGTAGTCTCAAAAGTTTTAAAACCCAACTACTGTTCAAATTCAATGTGAGTACAAATTATTCACCTCTCAATTTCCTTTTTACTTTGTTTTAAGGTGCGTGAAAATACAGACTCTTTTGATTCCTTTTATTTCTCAAAAATAACCAATAATAATATGTCAAAGGAGTATTCTAGTTCTGAATGACTTAAAAATATGTACTATTTTTATTTCTTTCTAATAAGTCTTTCTGAACTACTATCTGAAAAGAACTTATTCTTTCAGTGCTCTATTAAATAAATTAAATGCCTGATACTTGAAAGTTTAATTGAAATTACATCCAAAATTCTTATTTGTTCCCAGGTTTTACATTGCATGTAATGTACGCACAAAGTACCCGATTTAAGAAATATATAGGATGGGCTCTTTTCATTCTATTAATAAAAATAAAAACTAATAATCATAATTGGATTTTAAAAATCATATTCTTTATATTATGGATATATTCTCTCCTTGTGATTAATATACATAACTTTTACATAAAAGTCACACACATAACTATAGAAAGTTTAAAGACTAGCCACATATATGCATAAGTAACCAGAGCCTATGACTAATCTATTTTTTTCTCAGGTGATTATTCTAGTGAATATCAAATATCAATGGCTAAAGTACAAACTATTTTAAATCATTCTGCTTTTTAGAAATAAATCTCATATTGTAAACAATAAAATTACTGCCAAATCCTGCATACAACCTTAACTTACCAAAATACTCCTGAACATCCATCACATACAAAGGGAAGAAAATCTAAAATAAAGGGAAAATGTTATATGTTCTGGTCAGTAACTGATTTTGATTTAGGTTTTTTAAGTAAAAAAAAAATCAAGTACTGAACTGTGGCTACAGGAGGATCTTCCTTTTGAACAATATCCTAGTGCAGCAAGTAGTGGTTAAACAAAAGCCATCACAACCTCAAGTACTCTGGGAGTAACCAGATCATCAGGAGATAAATATCACTTGCAGTGACAAACTAAATCAGAAAAAAAGAAGTCCTGGGAGTGTTTTCCCCAGGTTTACCAGATGCTGCTTCTGAGGACCATATATCACAAAAATTCTGCATTTGAAGTGACAATCTTGGATTTCAATTTTGATTGCACTGCCTACTAATCCAGCAATGCTAGGCAAGTTACTTAAAGGTAGAGCTTTGGGTTTTACATATATATATATATATATATATAAAACAGAATATGTAAAACACACACAGAATATATATATATATTTCTTGATACAGTATATGGTATAGTGCATGTATATGTATACAAAATCAAAAATATATTATTAGGTAATATAGATAAAAATAGGATATAAGTACATTGTGTTTGTGTGCATCTGTGTGTGTATGTATATCTATGTGTGTCCATATCTGTGTTATATGCCACACTTACTTCATAGGGTAATTGTAAAAACTAAATGAGATGTGTAAAAGATAAGAATAGTAAGATAAAAGCTGTAATTAACAAGAATAATCACAACAATTCACTTGTTTTGAATATACTCAAACTCTGAGAAAAATCCTGGGGTGACTAGGTAGGGACATGTTCAAAGATATTCCAGAAATTAAACAGACGGATTGATCGTGTAAAATTTAGTCCTGAACTGTTCCTTTCCTTGTTGTTAAGGAACAACTAAGTCAGGACTAAGCAACAATTAAGTCAGGAAGTGAATTTTTGGAAAGCACATTAAAGTATCTGTTTTTAGATGTGGCAATTGACCACAAATCACTGAATGTAATCATTTACTCATTCTCCAATCTGTTTTCAATGTACCTCATAATAAATTACAGTACACACACAAGTGAGGCTGGATATATCTAATCACACTGCCTTTACAAAATGAAAACAGGAAGTACTGCACTTAAGAGAAAGCCACTATTACTCTAAAAGATCTCATCCTACAGGGTATCCTAACCCAAAGAAAAAAGAGGTCCTATTTTAACCCAGGGCTTCCCTGTAGGTGTTAGTGGTAAAGAGCCTGCCTGCTAATGCAGGAGATGTAAAAGACGCAAGTTCAATCCCTGGGTCGGGAAGATCCCCTGGAGGAGGGCATGGCAACCCACTCCAGTATTCTTGCCTGGAGAATCCCATGGGCTGAGGAAGCTGGAGGGCTACTGTCCACAGGGTCACACAGAGTCAGACGTCAGAAGCAGAGAGAAGTGACTTAACACACATGCACAGTGACCCAAAGGGACCCTTGGCGACTTGCTGCTTGTGGGGCCAGAGGACTCTAACATAGTTCTTCCCTCACCTGAGAAGTGAGCTTAATGCATTGTCACTATTGTCCTGAAAGCATGATACTGTAAGCATCTGCTCCATACCAAGTATGTAGATATACATTTGTCAAAGAGAAGAAAAGTGAAATATACATCACTCTGCAAAACCTGTTTGTCTCTTTAAAATGGGGAAAATGTACATGCTCGCTACTTTTAGAGACTTTGGTGACCAACTAAGTATTAGACACAAACTAAGAGGACCCAGGGGTAAGAGTTAAGATTAAGGTAATTTCCTAACACTTAAAACCATTCTTCTATTCATCCAGAAGCTAAATGAAATTTAGTACACTCACAATATCCTCTAAATCTTAATTGCTCTCCACTAGAGTCTGCGAGAAATCTGAACTCCAAAAGAGCCAGACCCTGGCTTCATTTCAGTGCTTACACTTTAATAGACACCTGAAGTTGGAAAAGATTAACTATGTAACAGATGGTAGACATCATGGACTTGATAATCAGGTATACCAGAATGACACAATTTACGGTCAAAACCCAATCGGCTAAGCTTCCCTATGAGTCTGCAAGGAAACATCGGTCCTTGCCTGCTGAAGGATGGCGGAGGACGACAGTCAGTGGTGAAAGCTACAAATCGGAGTCCTGCAAGTAACAAGAACCTCGTAGGGATTGTGCCCTTTAGCCCATCGTCCACGACAGGTCATCACTGACCAACTGGGACCACTCCCACGAATTCTGAGCTAGACCCCAGAGCCCTTCTCAACAGTGACAGGTCCCTGCTACCAAAGACTGAAGCTGCAATGGGAGAGAAAACTTGTTTGGCCCCGGGATGTGTAACAGCACCAGCCAGATGTGACAGCACCCATTTGGAGTGCAAGCCAGGTACCAGAGACCGATGGCATTCTGCGTGGCTCTCGGCTTCAGGACTTGCCTGCTGCAGTTCCTAAGGCCTGTGCCACACGCTCACTGGCCGTGAGCGTGGCCTCCGCGTGTCACAAGGTCTCTCGGTTCAGCAGAGACAGAACATCACCTGACTAAAGCTCTAAGACGCAGCGAACTACCCTGAGAGATTTTCTGTGGAAATGGCCATATCTTAGACCCTTACGTGGGCCAGAAGCAAAGCAGGTGCTCAGTAAGTGTTTACTGAGTCAGAGACAGAACCAAAGAAGACAGAGCTGAGAGAGCAGAGACGCTCCCAAGGCCAGGCTCGGGGCCTTCTCACTGGAAGTCCGTCCCCAGAGCAGCCAACAAAAACGAGGCTCAAAGATGACCCAGCCCATCCTTCCCTGACAGACAACGGAAGCGCTGCGGACGAGGATCCAGGGCGCCGCGGCGGGCCGGGGGACTCTCCCGGTTCCCACACCGAAACGCGCTCCATCCCGGGCTCGTCAGACAGCGGCGGGCGTGCGCGGCTCCTCGGCGAGGCGGCCTCGGAAACCGGAGCGGGCGCTGCCGGCTGCGCTTCCAGGAGCGCGCAGGGCCCTCAGGAGGACTAGCAGCTCCCAGGCTCCAGGGCCCCCAGAAGGGCTCCGACCCGGCCAGCTGAGGGGCCCGCGGGACACGCCCTGCCCCTCCTCAGCCTCCGCCCCGCGCCGTCGCCCTCACGCCCCGCCGCCCCGGAGGCAGAGCGCGGCAAGGACCCCCGAGGCTGGGGCTGGGGCGCCGCATCACCTAGCCGCCGGCAGCGTTCCACCTGGCAGTGCCGCCCGACGTTCAGCTCCGCCATCTCCGCGCGCGCGAGAGGTGGGCCGAGAAGCGGGGCGGCGGGGCGAGGGGCGGGCCGAGGGAGTGAGGCGCCGCGCCCGCTGGGAATGGGCGGGGCGGGGCGGGGGCATGAGGTGGGGCGTGAAAATGGGCGTGGCGATGGGGAACTGGTGCAGAGGGGGCTGGGCCAGAGGGCGCGCGGCGCCCACTGGGAACGGGCGGGGAGCGGGCGGGGCCTGCATGCGGCGGCCGCTGGGAGCGGGCGGGGAGGGGGCAGGGCCTACCGTGCCGAGAGGGAAGGGCCGGTCCGGGCGTCCGGAGCCAGAGGAAGGGTTGTTGACTTGTTGGGCGTCTCTGTGGGTGGAAGTCCTGTCGCCCAGTCCTTAGAAAAAAATACAGTTTTCTGGGAGATTGCGTGCTTGTGTGCCCTCTGTGTTTATCTTCCTTCTGCGAAATTGGAGTTGCGGAAGGCTTCCTCAGGAGTGTGTGTGTGTGGTTCAATTCCTGACTCATTCTACACCAGTGTTACTTGATGATATAAGTACTCCTTGCAAGAGAATCAGGGTTTTTTAAATGTAGACGTTTGTTTGTTTAACGTTCTGGCAGGCAAAAAGTCTCTAGTTCTTGAAGTCCTGAGGGGCCGCCTAGGGCCACTCAGTTGCCAGAGCACAGACTCATTTAACACACATCCTAAAGAAAGCTTGTGGTCATTCCATGGGGAGGTAGGAAGCTTCATGTGTTGATGAGTCACTCCAAATGTACTGAGAAAAGACAGGCTCTTCTAGGTGGGGTTAAATGGATGCCATGCCACTGACATGACGCCACACGACTCAGAGAGGATGAATGACAAAGCTGTGCTAAGGACAAGAACTGTAAAAGTATCCAATGCGTCATATATAACTTTGAATATTTCCCAACAAATATTCATTGAGGAAGGGGGAGTGTGGATTGGGAAACAGGTATCCTTACTTCAAGATTTGCTCTTCAAAAATCTGTTTAAAATTTTCATCTCAGGCTTGTTTGGGTCTGGAGAAAAACTAGATTTTAGAGCTGGAAGTATCAGAAGATATCTAGCTATCCCAGCTTTTTTTTGAAGATAGATAAGCAGGTTCAGAGAAATTCTTTTTGTGTGTGAATTTTTTTTAAATTTTAATTGGAGGCTAATTACTTTACAATATTCTGGTGGTTTTTGCCATACATTCGCATGAGTCAGCCATGGGTGTACACGTGTTCCCCATCTTGAATCCCCCACCCTCCTCCCTCCCCATCCCATCCCTCAGGGTCGTCCCAGTGCACCAGCCCTAAGCACCCTGTCTCATGCATCTCAGGTTCAGAGAAATTAAATGATTTGCTCAAGTTAGTGGAAGAGTTTGGACTAAAATCCAAGTGTCAACAGCTTCCGGTATTTTGAAGAACCAGTGGCTTGGAGGAGACTGGTGATTTAGTCACTAAGTTGTGTCTGGCTCTTTCGACCCCATTAACTGTAACCTACCAGGTTCCTCTGTCCACGGTATTTCCCAGGCAAAAAGATTGGAGTGGGTTGCCGTTTCTTTCTCCAGGGGATCTTCCCGATACGGGAATCAAAGCCCCATCTCCTGCATTGCAGGCGAATTCTTCACCCACTGAGCCACAGGGAATCCCAGCTTGGGGGAAGTGATAAATTGGGAGACTGAGATGACATGCTCATTACTATATATAAAGGAGATAACTAGTCAGAACCTACTGAACAGCACAGGGAACTTTACTCAATACTCTTTAATGGCCTATATGGGAAAAGAACCTAAAAAAAGAGTGGATATATGTACAACTGATTCACTTTGCTGTATTCAGTTCAGGTCAGTCTCTGTCATGGCTGACTCTTTGTGACCCCATGAACCACAGCACGCCAGGCCTCCCTGTCCATCATCAACTCCCGGAGTTCACTCAAACTCATGTCCATTGTGTCAGTGATGCCATCCAACCATCTCATCCTCTGTCGTCCCCTTCTCCTCCTGCCCCCAATCCCTCCCAGCATCAGGGTCTTTTATAATACTTGGATTCTACCCCCACCAAGTTTACAAACTAATTAGGATGAATTATTTCTCTTTAAAATAGAAGTCATCACCCACTGACTGCTCCCTCCAATTCTAACATCTATAATTCTACCATCTCTAAGCAAGACCTAAAAAAAGCAATGCAAAAATGGCAAAAGGATCTTTGACAACTTCTTGCCTGCCAGTTACAAGCAGGACTTGCCCAGAAACCATTTGTAGAATCTACAACCTTACTGGAAATTTCATATACATCATTGGAAGTCTTACTGAAGCTCTTCAATAACTCTATTATACTAAGCTGGCAATGAATGATTTCATTTTCATGTTATGTAGTGTAAGCATAGGGACCACCAGAGAAATCCCTATTAAATATGTTTTAATTCTCAGCATTAAATTAATAACTTGTGCTACTTGTACTTTCTCCTAGTTAGATGATTATTCATCTTTCAATACCTGTAATTGTTAAAATTACATCCAAAAGATTTTCTTTTTGCAAACTAGACAAAACATGGAGAATTTTGAGAGTGGGTCAAAGTGGTCTTCAGACCCAGAGTCTATAAATAGTGATGTCAAATCATACAGGCTGGGCCATTGCTTATTTCTGGGCTAAGCTGCTCTATTTATATTCTTGGAAATGAATGATTCTTTTCATTAAAAAATAGCCATCCTTTGGGATAACTTTAAGTTTCTCATTTTCTATGATTACCCCTGGAATGACCAAGGACAAAACTGTTGTAAAAGATATGTGCTCATTTGATCTTTAACCATGTGGTCCATATAGTCAAAGCTATGGTTTTTCTAGTAGTAATGTACTGATGTGAGAGTTGGACTATAAAGAAGGCTGAATGTCAAAGAATTGATGCTTTCAAACTGTGGTGCTAGAGAAGACTCTTGAGAGTCACTTGGACAGCAAGGAGATCAAACCCAGTAAATCCTAAAAGAAATCAACCCTGAATATTTGTTGGAAGGACTGATGCTAAAGCTGAAGCTCCAATACTTTGGCCACCTGATGCAAAGACTCATTTGAAAAGACCCTGTTGCTGGGAAAGATTGAAAGCAAAAGGAGAAGAGGACGACAGAGGATGAGATGGTTGGGTGGCATCACTGATTCAATGGATATGAGTTTGAGCAAGCTCCTGGAGATAGTGAAGGATGGGGAAGCCTAGTGTGCTACAGTTCATGGGGTTGCAAAGAGTCAGACACAGCTTAGTGACTGAAAACAACAATATTACTATTAATAATGAATATATTCTCTTATTGTAGAATAATGTTTATTAATTTAACATAAAACAAGTATTATTTCATTTAGCCCTCATTACCACCCTGTGAGGTCGGTACTCTTATTATCCAAGTTTTTGACTGCAGAAACTGAGACACGCAAAGGTAAGGAACCTCCTCATGGACAGAGTCATTATTCAAACCAGGCAGATTGAATCTAGAGCATACATTTTACTGCTGCTGCTGCTGCTGCTAAGTCGCTTCAGTCGTGTCCAACTCTGTGTGACCCCAGAGACAGCAGCCCACCAGACTCCTCCATCCCTGGAATTCTCCAGGCAAGAACACTGGAGTGGGTTGCCATTTCCTTCTCCAATGCATGAAAGTGAAAAGTGAAAGTGAAGTTGTTTAGTCGTGTCTGACTCTTAGCGACCCCATGGACTGGAGCCCAGAAGGCTCCTCCGTCCATGGGATTTTCCAGGCAAGAGTACTGGAGTGGGGTGCCACTGCCTATTTTACTACAATATTGTTTATCACTTAAGGATTATTTTTTATTATTTTTCTACATTTGTGGGAAGCCGCTATTGTACAAAGTTCTCTAGGCCTGGAGCCATAAAAAACTTTTTTAGATTTTGCCCTAGGGATGGGGCCTTCATGAAGAAAGTAAAGGCAAGCTGCCTGAAGACAGTAACATTTCCAGGAAGATGGGTGAAACAAGAGTAGAATTAAGCATTCCCTAAAAGAGAGAATGTCTTCATATGTACACAAAATGACATAGAAGCGTGTAGATCACTAGAGAAGAAAATTCTGTAATCTCCCTTGTGAACACAGTTCTGTCATGATTCTCCTCTGTTGTAATTGCTGTTCTGTTTAAAACATAAGCAGTCTTTCCCTAGAGATATTTTCTTGAATCAATAAAATTATCTCCGAATTTAATATAGCAATGTTAAAATAATGGGAGTTACGTACTTTTTCCCCCAAATATTATGTCAACCTTTGTTGACAAAGTAATGTCTCTGCTTTTTAATATGCTATCTAGGTTGGTCATAACTTTCCTTCTAAGGAGTAAGCATCTTTTAATTTCATGGCTGCAATCACCATCTGTAGTGGTTTTGGAGCCCAAAAAAATAAAGTCTGACACTGCTTCCACTGTTTCCCCATCTGTTTCCCATGAAGTGATGGGACCAGATGCCATGATCTTAGTTTTCTGAATTTTGAGCTTTCAGCCAACTTTTTCACTCTCCTCTTTCACTTTCATCAAGAGGCTTTTTAGTTCCTCTTTATTTTCTGCCATAAGGATGGTGTCATCTGCATGTCTGAGGTTATTGATATTTCTCCCGGCAATCTTGATTCCAGCTTGTGCTTCCTCCAGCCCAGCATTTCTCATGATATACTCTGCATAGAAGTTAAATAAGCAGGGTGACAATATACAGCCTTGACGTACTCCTTTTCCTATTTGGAACCAGTCTGTTGTTCCATGTCCAGTTCTAACTGTTGCTTCCTGACCTGCATACAGGTTTCTCAAGAGGCAGGTCAGGTGGTCTGGTATTCCCATCTCTTTCAGAATTTTCCACAGTTTATTGTGATCCACACAGTCAAAGGCTTTGGCATAGTCAATAAAGCAGAAATAGATGTTTTTCTGGAACTCTCTTGCTTTTTCAATGATCCAGCGGATGTTGGCAATTTGATCTCTGGTTCCTCTGCCTTTTCTATAACCAGCTTGAACATAGCAGAAGGTAAAACAATATTGTAAATCAACTGTACTCCAATAAAAAAATAAAGAAATTAAAAATGAA